AGAGTCTAGGGACTCCACACCAGCAAGACCTGAACATTCCAACACAGATGAAGCAGAAGGGAATGACTTTAGAAATAACTTCATGAAGATCATAGAGACCCCAAAAGAGGAAATGAGAAAATCCTTTTAAAGAAATGGAAGAAAAGGCAAACCAAAAATTGCAAGAAATAAGCAGTGCAAGGTTTGAAAGCTGAAATAGAGACAACAAAACAAAACAAAACAACCCCTCTTCCCCCAAAAAACACAGTCTGAGGGAATGCTGGAATTAGAAAAGCTGGGTAAACAAGCAGGAACTGCAGATGCAAACATAACCAACAGAATACAAGAGATGAAAGAGAGAATCTCATGCTTTAAAGATACACTAGGAGAAATAGATTAGTTGACTAAAGAAAATCATAATTCCAGTAAGTCCCTAACACAAAATATCCAGGAAGTATAGGACACCATGAGAAGGCCAAACCTAGGTATAATAGGTATAGAAGAAGGTGAAGAAACCCAACTCAAAGGTGCAGAAAATATATTCAACAAAATCATAGAATAAAACATTCCCAACCTAAAGAAAGACATGCTAATGAAAGTACAAGAAGCTTACAGAACATCAAATAGTGTGGACTACAAAAAAGTTCCCTCACCGCATAATAATCAAAACACCAAATGTACAGAATGAAGAAAGAATATTAAGAGCAGCAAAGGGAAAAGCCCAAGTAACATATAAAGGCAAACTTATCAGAATTACACCTGCCATCTCCATGGAAACTCTGAAAGCCAGAAGGTCCTGGAATGATATTCTACCAATGCTAAGAGACCACAGAATGCAGCCCAGACTACTATGCCCAGCAAAACTTTCAATAAGTATAGATGGAGAAAACAAGACATTCCATGACAAAACCAGATTTAAGCAATACATATCCATTAATCCAGAACTACAGAAAATAATGGAAGGAAAACTCCATCCTAAGGAAGTTTACTCACAAAAACATAGGCAATAGATAATCCCACTTTACCGAAAACCAAAAGAAAAATGAGGATAAATCTACACACATTACCACCACCATCACCAAATTGAAGAATTCACATTCAATGGTTATTAATATCCCTCATTTTAATGGTCTTAACTCACCCATAAAAAAAGACACAGGCTAAGAGAATGGATACAAAGACAGAATCCATCCTTATGCTATGTACAAGAAACACACCTCAACTTCAAAGACAGACATTACCTCAGAGATAAGGATTGGAAAAAAGATTTTCCAATGAAATGGACCCAAGAAACAAGTGGGTATAGCTATATTAATATTAATATCTAACAAGTTAGACTTCAAACTAAAATCAAAAGAGATGAAGGTCATTTCATAAAAATCACAGGAAAAAAATCCATCAGGGCAAAGTCTCAATTCTGAACATCTATGCCCCACACACGTTCATAAAAGAAACATTACTAAAAATCAAATTGCAAATAAAACCTCACATACTTAGAGTGGGAGACTTCAACACCAAACTCTCACCACTAGACAGGACCACCAGACAGAAAAGTAACAAAGAAACATAAGAACTAACAGAAGTTAGCCAAATGGGTTTGACAGGCATCTATAGAACAATCCATCCAAACACAAAAGGCTATTCCTTCTTCTCAGCACCACATGGAATCTTCTCTAAAATTGACCATATACTAGGCAACATAGCAAACCTCAACATATACAAAAACTTGGAATAACCCCCTGTATCTTATCAGACCACCATGCTTTAAAGTTACATCAATGTTCATGAGGGATATTGGTCTATAGTTCTCTTTCTTAGTTGTGTCTTTGTGTCACTTGTTTACTAATAACTGTAGCCTCATAAAAAGAGTTTGATAATGACCCCTCTGCTTCTATTGTGTGGAACACTTTGAAGGAGTATTGGTATTAGCCATTCTTTGAATTTCTGGTAGAATTCTGCACTTAAACCTCTTAGCCCTGGGCTTTTCTTGTTGTTGTTGCTGTTGTTGTGAGACTTTTGATGACTGCTTCTATTTCTTTAGAGGTTATAGGTCTATTTAAATTGCTTATCTGTTCTTGATTTAATTTTGGTAAGTTATATCTGTCCTAAAAATTGTCCAATTCCATTAAATTTTTGAAATTTATGGAGTACAGTTTTTCAAAGTATGACCTGAAGAGTATTCTCTGGATTTCCTCAGTGTCCTTTGTTATATCTCCCTTTTCATTTCTGATTTTGCCAATTTGCATGTTCTCTCTCTGCCTCTTGGTTAGTTTGGATAAAGCCTTGTCTATCTTGTTGATTTTCTAGAAGAACCAACTCTTTGTTACACTGATTCTTTGTATTGTTTTCTTTGTTTCTACTTTATTTATTTCAGCCCTCAATTGATTATTTCCTGGCATCTACTCCTCCAGGGTGGGTTTGCTTCTTTTTGTTCTAGAGATTTCAGTTTTGCTGTTAGTTCCCTAATATTTTCCAGTTTCTTCATGTGGGCACTTAGTGCTATGAACTTTTCTCTTAGTCCTGCTTTCAAAGTGTCCCATAAGTTTGGGTGTGTTTTGTCTTCATTCTCATTGAATTCTAGGAAGTCTTTAATTTCTTTCTTTATTTCTTCCTTGGTGCAGTTGCACATTGTTCAATTCCCATGAGTTTGTGGGGTTTCTGCAATTTGTGTTGTTGTTGAATTCTAACTTTAAAGTATGGTGGTCTGATAAGATACAGGGGGTTTTTTGTATATGTTGAGGTTTGCTATGTTGCGGAATATGTGGTCAATTTTAGTGCTGTGAAGATGTATATTCTTTTGTGTTTTGATGGAAGGTTTTATAACTGTCTGTTAAACCCAATTGAGTCATAAGTTCTGTTAGTTCTTTTGTTAAGTTTCTACCTGGTGGACCTGTCTAGTGTTGAGAGTGGAGTGTTGAAATATCCCACTATAATTGTGTGAGGTTTTATGTGAGATTTGAGTTTTAGTAATGTTTCTTTTACAAATGTGGGTGCCTTTGTATTCAGGGCATAGATATTCAGAATTGAGACTTTATTTTGATTGATTTCTCCTGTGATGAATAAGAAATTATCTTCTTCATCTCTTTTAATTTTAGTTTAAAGACTAATTTGTTAGATATTAGGATTGCTACACCCACTTATTTCTTGGGTCCATTTTATTGGAAAACCTTTTCCAAACCCTTAACTCTGAGTTAACATCTGTTTTTGGAATTGAGATATGTTTCTTGTATGCAGCATAAGGATGTATTCTGTCTTTGTATCCATTCTCTTAGCCTGTGTCTTTTTATGGGTGAGTTAAGACCATTAATATTTAGGGATATTAATGACTATTGATTGTTAATTTTTGTTTGGTTTGGATTTGTTTTTGTTGGTGGTATTATGTGTGGATTTCCCTGCATTTATCTTTTAGCTGTAGGTAGAGTGGGATTATCTATTGCCTATATTTTTGTGGGTGTAGTTGACTTCCTTGGGTTGGGGTTTTCCTTCCAGAACTTTCTATAGGGCTGGATTAGTTGATAAGTATTGTTTAAATTTGTTTTATGTTTATGTTTTCATGGAATATCTTGTTTTCTTCGTACATAGTAATTGAAATATTTGCTGGGTATAGTAGTCTGGGTTGGCATCTGTGGTCTCTTAGTGTTGGTAGAATATCTATTCTGGCTTTCAGAGTTTCCATGGAGAAGTCAGGTGTAATTCTGATAGGTTTGCCTGTATTTGTTACTTGGTCTTTTTTCTTTGCTGCTCTTAATATTCTTTCTTTATTCTTTACATTTGGTTTTTTTATTATTATGTGGTGAGGAAACTTTTTTTTTTGTGGTCCACTCTATTTGGTGTTCTGTAATGTTCTTGTACTGCCATTGGTATTTCCTTCTTTAGGTTGGGATTGTTTTATTCTTTGATTTTGTTGAATATATTTTCTGCACCTTTGAGTTGGATTTTTCATCTTTTTCTATACCTATTATTCTTAGCTTTAGCCTTTTCACAGTGTCCTATATTTCCTGGATATTTTGTGTTAGTGATTTATTGGACTTAAGGTTTTCTTTGGTTGATGACTCTATTTCTCCTAGTTTATCTTCAGTGCCTGAGATTCTCTCTTCCATTTTTTGTATTCTGTTGCTTATGCTTGCATCTGTAGTTCCTGATCATTTACCCACCTTTTCTATTCCTAGCATTCCCATAGTTTGTGTTTTCTTTATTGTCTCTATATCAATTTTCAGTTCATGGGATGTTTGAATTGTTTCCTTTATCTGTTTGATTTTTTTTTCTTGGCTTTCCTTGTTTTCTTTAGGAGATTTGTTGATTTCTTGCATTTTTTGTTTTTTTCCCCCCATTTCTTTAAAGGGTTTTTCATTTCCCCCTTTAGTGTCTCTATCATCTTCATGATAGTGTCTCTATCATCTTCATGTTTTTATGGTGATTATCTTCTGCTTCATTTGTTTGGGATGTTGAAATCTTGCTGGTGTGGAGTCCATAGACTCTGGGGGTGTCATTGATCTTTCTGTTGTTGACTGTGTTCTTATACTGTCGTCTACCCATCTCTTCTTCCAATGCATACCGGTGTGGTCTCTCCCTCTCCTGGTGAGTCTGGGACCAAGGTTCTCTTCCGGTGGGTGCAAGCAGGTCCAATGCTTTGATGGCTCACCTCATCCAGAGGTGGGACTAGGGTGCTGACAGACTGCAGATGGACTGGTCCGCTGGGATGGGTTACCCTGTGCACAGTCACCAGTCCTCAGGAGGCTCCGAGCAGTAGGGCACAGGAAAGTGGGTTCCCTTGCAACCATTGTTTTTTTTTTTTTTTTTTTTTTGTCAGTTCAAGTAACTGATCAGAGCTTTTATGCTTGTATTAACATGCTTTATTCTTACAATGGTGAGAAGTTTATTAAAATTAAAGTTCTGTTATGTGGGGAAAGTTGTTGAAGGTTTGGCAGCCCCTCAAAAATTAAAAAAGAAAACAACAACAAAAACAAAAAACACAAAACAAAACAAAACAAAAACTGATTAATCTTTACCTCTTCCTTCAGCTTGCAGCCATTTGCGATGTGTTTGTGGAAAACTATGTCCCTGGCAAACTTTCTGAGATGGGCCTTGGGTATGAAGATATAGACAAGATTGCTCCTCACATCATCTATTGTTCCATCACAGGTATTTCAACCCCATGCAATCCTTAGTGAGGTTGTTTTCTTATGTGACAAACCTGCATCCCTTCTCCCAAAGCCACAGAGATTGCTAAACAGAACTATTAAGGACCTTAATTGGACATTTTCAGAGCTTGATTGGCTATTTTTATTACTTCTCTGAATTAACAAATTCACATTTATACACAACTATAGTTAGGACCAAAGGATTTTCTGGGCCTTCAGTTATTATTCTGGAACCTTGAGTTTTTTTCCAGTTCTCAAATTCTGTAGTTTTAAAAACAGTATTTATTTATTTTATGTATATGAGTAACCTATCTTCAGGCATACCAGAAGAGGGGATCAGATGGTTGTAAGCCACCATGTGGTTGCTGGGAATTGAACTCAGGACTTCTAAGAAGAGGAGCAATTGTTCTTAACCACTGAGTTAGGGTCTCATGTGGACCATGATGGCCCTGAACTTTTTGTGCTTTGCTGAGGATGATCTTGAACTCTTGATCCTTCTGTCTCCATTTTCTGAATGCCAAGCTTGCAAGTGTGTGTGCCACCACAATGACCTCAAATTGTGTAATTTAATGAAGAAAAAGCCTTGGAGAAAGATTGTATAACCTAGTAGTTCTCAGCTAAGAGGAAAATGGGTGGATCACATGGTTTTTAGTGGTGTGCAAGGGGATTGGGGAACATTGGGGTAAGGCAGTCTAAAATAAAATCCCTCTCTTCTATCTCCATTTCCCTTCATTACCACCTCCTGAAAACTTTAGAAAATATCTGTACAGTGTCCTGAGTGGTTAAGGGACTTGAGGCTACACAAGTATTTAATAGAAAATAGTTTTAAAATCCAAGCTTCTTACATTAAAAATGTTAAACATTTTTAGCCGACACAGAAATTCAAATTAAACCTGCATCGAGATTCTGCCTCTCCCTGTCAGAATTGCTATCCTTAAGAAAATAAACAACAAAACACTTTGCTGGAAGTTGGAGACAGGGAGCAGAGGGAAACTCATACATTTTTGATGAGAATATAATTTGTTTTGGCTACTTTGGAAATTAATAAGGGCAGTGTCTCAAAAACCTAAAGTTGGAAATAACATATGGTCCAGCTATATCACTCCTGAGACTATGACAAAATGGATCAAAGTCAGCATATGTTAGAGATATCTAATAGTGGGTATTACTGCACCATTCACAATAGGCATGGAATCAGCATAGATTGACCATCAACATATGAAAAGATAAAGAAAATGTGTAGAGACACATTTTTTTATTTATAACAATCTTATTTTACATATTTTTACATATCAATCTCTTCTTTCCTCTCCCTCCCATCCTCCTATGTCCCACACGGACTCATTTAGGGCAGGGCCTAGGCTCCCCTCCATCTATCTGGGCTGAAATAATATTCCTTCATAGGGAATGAGCTCCCAAAGTCTGTATGTGCACTAGGGATAAATACTGATTCCACTGTTAGAGGTCCCATGGACAGCCCAGGCCTCCTGACTGGCACCCATAATCAGAGGGTTTGTTTCTGTTCAATGCTGGTCACCCAGCTTTACAACTGGGGTCTGTGTGCTCTCACTAGATCAGGTCAGCTGTTTCTGTAGGTTCCTCCAGCACGGTCTTGACTGCTTTGCTTGTCCCCCCTCCCTCTCAACAACTGAATTCCAGCAGTATGGTTCAGTGCCTAGCTGTGGGTGTCTGTTTCTGCTTTCATCAGCTACTGGATGAAGACTCTAGAAAGCAATGAAGGTAGTTATCAGTCTCATTATAGGGGAAGGGCATCAAAGGAGGCCTCTCCACTACTGCTTAGATTCTTAGTTGGGGTCATCTTTGTGGATCTCTGAGTATTTCCCTAGAGCCAGATTTCTTTTTAAACCTATACTGGCTCCCTCTATTAAGGTATCTATTTTCTTGCTCTCCTCTATTTCTCCCCCTGATTCAGTCTTTCTGACCCTTCTTGTTCTCCTCCCCTCCTCTTCTCCCCTTCTCTTTTTCCTACCTCTCTCTCCTCTTCCTCCATGCTTCCAATTTGCTCAGGAGTTCTTGTCCCTTTCCACTTCTTTTTGGGCTTTCTTAGGGTCCTCCTTGTTTCCTAGTTTCTCTGGTGGTGTGGATTGTAGGCTGGTAGTCCTTTGCTCTATGTCTAATACCCATATATAAGTGAGTAAATACCATGCTGGTCTGTTTGTGACTCAGTTACCTCACTCAGGATGGTTTCTTCTAATTCCATCCATTTGCCTGTGAATTTCAAGTTTCCATTGTTTTTTTCCGCTTAGTAATACTCCATTGTGTAAATGTACCACATTTTCTTCATACATTCTTTGGATGAGGGGCATCTAGGTTGCTTCCAGGTTCTGGTTATTACAAATAATGATGCTACGAGCATAGTTGAACAGATGTCCTTGTTTTATGAAAGTTCATCCTTTGGGTATATGCTGAAGATTGGAATTGCTGGATCTTGAGGTAGACTGATTCCCATTCCTGAGAAACCACCATACTGATCTTCAAAGTGGCTGCACAAGTTTGCACACCCACCAACAATTAAGTTTTAATTAACTATAAAGAAGAGAGAAATCATGTCAGTTGTAGAAAAATGGATGAAATTAGAGATCATTATGTTAAAAAATAAGACTCAGAAAGACAAATATTGTACTTCTTCTCTCATATGTTGAATCTAGAATTTTAAGCCCATGAAAGCAGAAGAGAGGCTATTTGGAAAGAAGAATAAGCATAGGGTAGGAAATTGTACTATGGGTAACTATGATCAAAATATATACATATATGAAAATTATATCATGCAACCTGTTATTGCATAAATTGCTACATAATAAATCCCATAGGCTTTTGATTTAATATTAAATGCTTCATTACCTTCCATACTTTGATAGTCATTCTGAAATGCCATGATGAAATACTATGATCAGAACAGCTTTGGGAGGAAAAAGTTTATTTTATCTTAATGTTTGCATTTCATCACATGCTTGCACACAGGCCAATCTGGTGGGGGCATTATTTCAGTTGAGGTTCCTACTTCCCATTTGACTTAGCTTGTGTAACACTAACAGAAAACTGGCCTGCACAAGTGCTGGCGGAACTTGGTGATTATAGGATATTGAACAGCTCTACCTGAGATTTGTTTTGGCCACTCTCTTTCATTTGTTATCCATATTTGCACTAGTAGAATCCCAGGAGTAAAGCAATTAGTCAGAAACTCTAGTCAACAGATCATTTAGAAGTAAAAATCATCTATTAATTGTGAATTTATGTGGATATAAAACAAAGTTCATTTGTTTTATAGAAGTTTGCAATTCTTGCTTATAGCAGTCTAAAGTTACACATGTCATCACGGGGATTCTTGCCTTTCCTGATGTTTTCCAATGTTGTTACTGTATTGCAGTACTGCCCAAGTCCAGTTCTTCCCATTCTGGGGTTGGGTGTATTACAGATGAGATTAATGTTCAAATGCCTGGGATTTGCTTGAATGAAGCCCAACAGCTATATAGCTGAAATTGCCCCAACCTGTGAAATCTGGCTAAACTGATTTGAAAGGCAGAAGGGCCTGATTATTTTTATTTCTGTGGTCCTTATCATTTCAGAGGAAGCTAAATGTGAACAGTAGGTGGCAGTGTTTAAAAAGCTATTATTCACTAGCAATTACTTTTTCCAAAAACTGCAGTGTTCTCCTTAATGGTATTTATGTATATTTTTTAAATGAAAGACTTTTTAAAATTTATGTTATTGTTATTAAAAGTTTTTAAAGAATTTTAAAATAATTTAAAAGTTATTAAAATTTAAATGGTTAAAATTATTTTAAAAATGAAGGTACCTCTCTTAATAATGTAAAGTTGTGTCTTTGGAGCATGTTTTTAATAAAAACAATTTAGCAGCATGAATCCTTTCCATCACATGTAAAAATATTTCTTTTCTTCTATTTGTCCATTCAATTATTCTTTCCTTCTGGAAGGATAAGCATGGTGTTATTTGACTAGATTGAATTTTGGTGGGAGCAGTGACTATTCTTTAATAAAAATTCTTCTGGGGCAGGGAAAGGAGGTGGCTTGGAAAATGAAATTCTGATTTTGCCACTCCATCATTAGTATCTTCCTAATCTCCACCCTGTGTGGATAGGATGCAGGGTTCCTCTTGAGGAAAGGGCCTGACAAGAGATGCTCAGGGCTCAATTCAGAGAACATACTTACTTGTTAGCTCTAAGTAGAAAAGACGTTGGGGCATGCTTCTGAATAATAAGGAGAGCATATATTAGAACAAAACAAGAAGAGCCAAGAATGCTTTTAGTAAGAACCATAGCAGCATATTTCCCTGTTAAATATTATAGTTTAATGAATGTTGTTGTGAGTGTGTTACATGAGAAATATTTGTGTCTTTATTCCACATCAGACTTATTGAGTAATAATAAATTCACAAGGTATGGCAGTTTTGTTGACAACAATTGTTTGAGAAGTCCCACTCTTCTTGCTAGATTTAGCTGAGGCAAACACATGTTATTTTATTGTATTTTTATTTACTAATATCAACTCTCAGATCAGACCTTTCATTACACATCACACAGTAAATTTCTATATAAGTATATTATATAATGGTTTCAAGGGGGGTTAAAAAGGTCACAGAAGCATTAAAGGAATTTCAAAAAGGCCTGAGAGGCAAAACTGATAGAGATGAAAAGAGTCTGGGATAACTGATTGATGCTGCAGATATTGCTGCTGAGTCAGGCTTCAGGGCCCAAGTTGAGCTGCAGAAATGAGGTATAGTGGAAACTATAGAGGCAAAGGGCAGGATTGGGTCTAGACAGATGAATGTGGATGGACAGTTAGCAATTCAAGAAGGCTATGTCAATAGTGAGAATGGAGCTGAGCTGATGTCTCTGGGGGCAGTCATGAATTCTCTACATGTCCATCCCTGGACATATACTGGTGACAGGGGGGACCAATACTGTTACAGTGACGTATCTCCTTGTCCAGTTAAGACAGTTATACTCTTTTATCAGTCTGG